ATATCAAGTGCCGGCTTTATTCAGTGCACTTTTTATTTTAAAAATGACACATGTGAGTAGAGAATCTTTATGAGCCATTACAGACTAATAATTGTTCGACGACATAAGATAACACACACACACCCTGGATCGATTTTCAAAGGAAACTCGATTTCTCCACGACGAAGAGGATGCATAAACGAAACGATGCGTTTTCCGAACATCTCGACCAGACGGTTTCAACGCTGCCGTCCTCGGCGCTGCGTCTCTTCCTGCTGTTGATAAATCGAGCTTATAAGATCGGTCCAGGGTCTGTGTTATCTTGTGTCGTATACATACGGTAGATTCCAGTGATGATGCATTCATTGGAAAAGACTCGTCTGGGTCAGGTTGTCTGCTTCGGATATGACAAACAAATTGGAACGTGACCTTTCGCAAATGACCGACGTATGTATGGGGATGTTGCCTGTTATGATTGCACGATATCCCTTACACTTCCGCAGGCTAGTGTACCTACATGTGCGACGGGAGGGGACGCCAGAACAAGGACATGCCTGACGTTTTCCCTATCTTAGACTATTACTATAATGCTTCGACCTCTCGATCTTGCCTGCAGTATCGGTGCTCGGTCTGGGTCCCGCCGCTCTTTACACCAGCAGGGACGGTTCGAAGTTGGCGTCATCCGCTGGTGACCCTTCCACAGTTAAAGTCAGGGCCCGTAAGACCTTAGGGGACACTTGTCCACCTTGCGGGATGCAAGATTTTCTGCAAGATATTTGACCCACCCAGACAAAGATGGAGCGACCTTGAGCGACCGGTAATTCCTACCGCGTATCTTGATTCGGGGATTTTGGATTTTGGGCATTGGGCATTGGGCCCTCCCCGGACCACAGGAGTAGAAAGGGGGAAGTAAATATTTCCCCTACCGCAATCGATCCAAATATCAAGCAAGGAATAAACAGGCTGCAACATGTACGAAGTGCTGGGGATAAGAGTATGGTAGGTTTTGTAACATGGGACGGTCAGGACGTCTGGGAGTTTACAACTTCGCGGTCGTTAGGGATGCGGCGAAACAACTGCCGGTTCGATGTCATCATCTATTGGGCTATTGGGACATTGGAGAGCGGGCGTGCGTGACTGCGGATCTGCGCATCGGCTTGTCATGTGTACTCCATTGACCATTGACCCTGTCCAGAGTCATGAAGGCGCCGCAAGCAGCACAGGTGGGAGTCGTGTAGCCCGACGTTTACACAACCGCACGGGTTGTTCGAGAGGGTATTAGAGACGATGAGGTAGCTAGCGCACCAGTGAGGAGCGACTCCACTTGACCAAATGTTGACTCCCCGTCTCTACTTCGTTGATCCATCATTCATGTGATCATGTGAGAAGACAACAGCAACAACAACAATCTGCTCACGGTACACAATGTTGCGCAGGTGCCAAAAAATGCGAAAGGAGGGATCTTAGTTTGTGAAGAGGAGCTCAAAGCCGCATTCGATTTTTTCGATGTCGAAGGCAAGGGAGTCATCACCGCCGGCGCATTGCGAAAGAAACTTGGGGCATTTCATCGTTCGTTGAGCGCTAGGGAGGCCCGTGTTCTCATGAATAATAAGGCGGAGATGACGATGGACGACCTCAGAGAGGTTCTGCTGGAAAACGAGGTCACAAACTTCGATCCAGTTGCCGAGGCGTTCAAGGTTAGCTCTTCGATGCAATCGACTGTGACAATACTGCTCGACGTTCTATAGTCTAAACTGCTGCTGTTTTGCTGTTGTTTTCACACACAACTTTGCCAGTTCCCGAAGCTCGTACGGTAGTCTCGAGCTTTGTTGTGGGCGCGTTGAACCCTCAACTTTTTCTTGCAATACATGGGATTCATGCAGGCTTACGACCCTTCTGAAACCGGTTTCATGGACACGGAGATCCTCAGGAGCATATTTGACAACCTTGGTTTCGGGAAAATGTCGGACGAAGATTTAGCCATTCTCGTCGAGGCTGCTGACGGAGACGGGGACGGCCGCGTAGGAGTATCAGATTTTCGAGAAATGTGTGGTTCTGTGGGCAAACAGGAGGCAATGGCAACCAATGCTGACAACCAAGCAGAGGACGCCGACCAAGCAAAGACAAGCTGAGCGTACCACCTGGGTTGGTTGGAAGATGAAATGTTCCTGCCACACTAGGATACGGTCTGGGGCGTGGAATCAATACTGGCGAGAAATTGCCCCGTCATGTAGCACCATTCGGCAAGACGGTCATTTGACATCTGTTTGAGATTGTCCTGGTTCGTTTGCTTCGCGTTAGAATAAAGTGCACTCTCCTGGGCGGAACCATATAGCATGCCAGGTTTGTTCCGGTGGCAACCGAATTCACCCGCCGTCCATCAGACGGGTGTCTGGAATTACAGGTAGAGAGAGTTCTTGATGCTTGACGTACATGGTTGTAAAGATCTACTGGCGCACCAAAAGCACCCGCAACACCAAACAAACAAAAAATAGTAGCCAATCCATGGACCAAATGTTCCTCGTCCAAAAACACAATCAACTTTGGCCTCAGCATAGCAAGCTCAGGACCAATAAAAACGGGAGACCTACGACAAGACGACACCTAAAGTGTGCGGATGAGATACGAAACAAGGTTCTGCTATGCCTAGAGCTTTGATTTGTCAGATCTTCCTTACGTACAGGACACCTCAACAGGCAAGGTACCTGATATGTCGCGTTTGACACCGCTGTACTCACGAAGCATCAAACGACACTCTTGGCGCTTGCCCGCTGACTACAATCACCGATTTCGAGACAACGCGTGGCCAAACGAAGAGAGAGAGCGGCGCATCCTTTCCCAATCGCCCTCGTTCTTTGTATGTTTCTTCATGGATGTGGTTGAGGTCTTGAACTAGACGTTCCATCGAGAGGTGCATAAGGCAGACGCCCAAACAGAAAAACATAGACCGAACGCCCCCTTGAGGGCCTTGTCGCCCCGGGGTTATTGTATCTGTCTCTTTTTTCGCCAACCTACCTTTGAGAAGCCCTGAACGGTGTTCTTCCCGAGAAAAAAGTTTTTTCGCGCCCCGCGGGGCGTTCTCAAAGGAAGACATTACCTCATTTGGTATTAACTCCAAGGCTCCAACCAAAACCACAGTGGAAGGAGTACATTACGTCCAACAGATGCTGATCACCTCGCCAACCCTATCTTACAACCTCCGGCATCGCCTACATACACGTGTCAACCGACACTGCCGGGGACGTCTGCCCCCCCGCTCGGCCCTACCACATTCTTAGCCCACGCCCCCTCTTTCCCCACTTCCAGTCCATGCCCCACCTCTACGCCGAGTCGCCAAAACAGCGTGTCCGCCCCCATCTCCAGCCCATGCCCGATACGATATGCATACAATTCTGGCGAGCATAACACCAGCGCGCCAGCTTCTAATGGGGAAGGGCGGTACTAGTTGTAGTACATTTCCAATCCCATGCCGTCGTGGATCTCGTAGTCTTCAAGGGTGATGTGGTCCTAAGGCGCGGGGATTCACACACGGACAGGAGGGGCACAGCAGCAGCAGCAGCAGCAGCAGCAGCAGCAACCGAGAGTGAGGGTAGGGTAGCAACGTGGAACAGATTTGGCGAGGGTAGACGGAGGAAATGTAGCAGAGCTGACGCACATGTTCCGCGAAGGGTGTTGTTGTCTGAAGTAACAACGGCGAAGCGTGCGACTGGGCTCGCCGTGTACATAGGAGAACGCCTTTGGTTGTTTCCCCCAATGCTCGAGCGTTGCGCGGAATCCTCTCTGATCGTGTGAGACTGCCCGATGTGCTCGCAAGGGATCTCAGTAGACTACAGTAGTTGCTCTAGAGGAGTACTACAGCTGCAGAAATCGAAGACACGAGAGACAGAAACAAGTGTTCGGTGACCTCACCTTGTAGACGGTATACCACTTCTGGATCCGGATCTTCTCTGGTCGTGTGCCGACCTGCGCGGCTATGAGCTTCTTCAGGTCCCCTATTGTGTCGTCTTCGTTGCACTTCACCCTCACCTGTGGGGCATTCATTTTGTGAGTGATATTCATTTTGTTAGTGATAACACCCGACGTATTGTCCAAATTGACATTGTTGTGCGCGTGATGATAAAACGTCCCCAATGTGTCAAAATATTGTCATTTTGTGGGTGACAAACATGCGCAATTCGTCATTTTGTGGGTGATGAAACTCGCCATGTGTAAAAAAATGTTGGCATATCGTCGGACATCATTTTGGCTACCGTCGCAACTATACCCTCGAACATCGCCTTGCCGTCGATGTTTCGTACAAAACGTGTTGACATCATCCGACAAACTCTTCGGCTATCTAGGCTGCGTTGTTGAAAGTGTTGACATCGTCCAACAAACTCTTTGGCTAACTAGGCTGTGTCGTTGAAAAGTGTTGACATCTTCCGATAAACTCTTTGGCTAACCAGGCTGCGTCGTTGATCGTTCCTGCCTGTTGTTGCGACACATACTACTCGCGGACAGAAGTAACGTAGCATTCCTTTAAAGCCAGCAATGGTGGCCAACCAAGTCTTTTACGGCAAACAGGACAGGTACTCGTGTCCTTTCAGAGCAGGTCATAGTTTGCCGTTGTGATCGCTACCAGCAACTGAGGCAAACAACGTGTCGGACGGCGTTACCGGAGGTTGTTATTGTGCCAGGATCACGGCATCACGGGCTAGTTACCTCCAAAGCTGGAGAGGGACTTTGCTGGTCGTGGTTGGTCGATTGGACAAGCGCTCACCGTATTCAGCCATGTGCTGGTGTGTCAGCTGACAGACCTCAAAAAGAGGTGAGTGATCGGGCATGTCCAACATACACAAACCACGACGTTTGGCACCTGTTAAAACCTTGGCCCTCAAAAAGACACCAAGCAACAAGACCACGAGAGAGATGGTACTTCAGTGGGCGCCCACGTCCCTCGCTACCCACTAGTGCGCTCGGCGCTTGGATTTACAACGTCCACGCGGAGACAGGCATCAGCACAAACAGTAGAGGTATGTAGACCACCACAAAAAACGACGGACATCAGCGCAAATTAGTACCATACCTTATACAAGTAGATGAGAGAAAGACGTACCACAACCCAAACCTAACAGGCATGGGAGGTCATTGACCGAGTTCAATACACAACTGCAGATGCAAGCGCGTTCCGCTATGCTCCAAATTAAATCTTGGAGGCCACCGCTCGTTATTTTCGAAGCGACGCGGGGTGCCTGGCTACCCCCAGGCTCTCCCGTGTGGTACACAGCAGTACTTGCGGAGAGATAAAAGGGTGCGAGGTGGATGCACCGGTGCGGGGCAGACGTGTTCATACTTCAACGAGTGGGAAGACCACCATCGTCGCCTACAGCCACGCCTGGAGAGCCCAAATCAACGGTTGTGCGGGTACGACATACATACGCACCTTCTTTCCCAACCGATCGTTGCAGATGACTTCGATCATCGTCCCCCTGCTGCCGCTGCTGCTTCTGCTGCTGCTGCTGCTGCTGCTGCTGCTGCTGCTGCAGCTGCTGCCGATCTACAGAGGTCGTCTGCGTCACCCCCCGATAACCTCACAAATATATCCTTTGCGCTTGAAAATATAACGGGTTCAACAGAGGTCCCTGCGACCCAAGCCCTGGATGAATGGCGGGCTGGCAAGATGGTGGTGCTACTCGACGGTGGTTTTGTGTACACAGCAGCACCATGGATAGCACTCGGCAGTAACTCGATCCCCGCCCGGGATGGCGGTACCCGCCAGTCTGTATTCAGTTGTCTCTTGCGCGTGCCCCCCAGCAGGTCTGTCCAAGTCTGTCCGCGTTTTATTGCTAGGGTCCGTCTGTCATAGCATCGCGTGTCGCACCCACCGGCACACCATGTCTGCGGCTGGTGCTAAGGCCAGGGAAGGGGCGGGAGCACGAGGAGGGCCCGCGAAGAAGGGCCCGCCCAAGAAGGGCGACGACATTGTATCGGTGGAGGAAAAGGTGTGGACGTTGCGGATGGGTGCTCGAGATCCTCCGTCCAACGTCGCCCGTTTCGAGGAAATCTGGGTTGGGAAGGGCGACAGCAAGCGCAAGGTGTGCATGCGGCCAAGCGTAAGCCTCTCTGTTTGCACGTGACGGGTCAACGATAAAACCAGAGGTGGTATACAGCAAAGGACGGATTTTTTATAGTGCTACTATTGCTGCTGTGTGGGTGCGTACATTGGCAGTCTGGAGTGCGGGGTGCAACGGACGGTGCAACTCGTTGTCGGATCAAGCAGGATTGGTGGCGATATGTACTATCCTTTTGGGGGAGAAACAGTGATGTCCGTATATTCCTCGACAAATTATACCCAGTTGAGAATCATTGTTGTGATAATTGTGTGCTCCGCCCTGTGCTACTACTGCTGTACGCGGTACGGACTGCTGATTTGCTGGGTTGCTGGGTTGCCGGCTGTATTACGCCGCGTTTTGCCCTCGGTTTCGCCGCTTTTAATCTTTTAATCCCCAATCGTCAACCGTTGCTCCTACAGTAGTATATAAACACACCATGTTTATGTTTCCAAGTAGTTCCTGACATGATGGTCTTACCTCTTAGAAAAAATTACACACCCTGTACAACTACTTTAGGTGGTAGTTGTTTGCCAGACACCTACTCTTCCAGGAGGGTGCGCACCTAGTTGGCTGCAGACACCTACTCTTTCAGGAGGGTGCGCACCTAGTTGGCTGCAGACACCTACTCCTTCAGGAGTGTGCGCACCTAGTTGGCTGTAGATTACTACTCTTTCAGGAGCGTGCGCACCTAGTTGGCTGCAGACACCTACTCTTTCAGGAGAGTGCGCACCTAGTTGGCTGTAGATGACTACTCTTCCAGGGGCGTGCGCACCTAGTTGGCTGTAGATGACTACTCTTTCAGGAGCGTGCGCACCTAGTTGGCTGTAGATGACTACTCTTTCAGGGGCGTGCGCACCTAGTTGGCTGAGGACACCTACTGGTTCAGATTTGTGCGCACCTAGTTGGCTGTAGATGACTACTAGTCCAGAATCGTGCGCACCTAGGTGTTTACGAACAACTAGCCGGTGGTTGTCTGTCTAACAACTAACTTAGCTGGCTTATTAGTTAGAGTTGATAGTCTGTCCTGGAATTACAAGGAGAACGCATTAACAGTGGTAGTAGCAGTGAGAGGTTGTTTCTGCGCAGAAAGGGGTGCAGACAAGGAAGGTCAGCCAAACCTTACACCTTGTGAACCTTTATCGATCTATTCCTGGTGAAACGAACCACAATACACGCAAGCATGCTGTGTGATGATCCGCGAGCATGACACGCCAACCTAGCCAGATGGCCAGGAGCTCTCTCCTATGCGAGGGAGACCTGCCAAACAACATCCGCTTATTATACTGGGTCGTGAAAAAAACTAATTGAACATGCATCATCGACCGTCACTGCCTCTTCTTCCGACGAACCAATCCCTCCGTCTGTTTGCTGGCCACCATCTGCTGGTGGTGCTGGTGGTGCTGGCGTAGGGTCGGTTGGTGGAACAGCCGCCGCCATGCGCCGCCATGTGGTGCGCTTGTTCGCTCGTCGGGTGGTGTGTGAGAGAGTGCGTGGTGTGCGGTGGTAGTCTACTGCGCCGGCAGCTGTTCTGTATTGACTGTTGACACCTGCCCATCCGTGTGTATCTGTGGGTGCGACTGCGTGGTCTGCAGTAGTCCCCTGCTGCGCCGGCAGCTAACTGTTCTATTTTGACATCTGCCCGTGTCTGTCTATGTTTGGGTGTTAGTGTGTGCGATTCTGTGGTTGACAATTGCCCGGGCAACAAACAACGTGAACATGTTCTATATTGACAACTGCCCAGGCACCTAGTTGGCTGCAGACACCTACTCTTCCAGGACAGTCCGCACCTAGTTGGCTGCGGACACCTACTCTTCCAGGAGGGTGCGCACCTAGTTGGCTGCAGACACCTACTCTTCTAGGAGGGTGCGCACCTAGTTGGCTGCAGACACCTACTCTTCCAGGAGGGTGCGCACCAAGTTGGCTGCAGACACCTACTCTTTCAGGAGCGTGCGCACCTAGTTGGCTGCAGACACCTACTCTTCCAGGAGTGTGCGCACCAAGTTGGCTGTAGATGACTACTCTTTCAGGAGCGTGCGCACCTAGTTGGCTGTAGATGACTACTAATCCAGGAGCGTGCGCACCTAGTTGGCTGTAGATGACTACTCTTTCAGGAGCGCGCGCACCTAGGTGTTTACGAACAACTAGCCGATAGTTGTCTGGCAAACAACAAACAACTAACTTAGTTAGTTATTAGTTAAAGTTGTACAGGGTGTGAAAAATTAACTCTCTAGCTGAGGAGTGCCCCCCCGGGTCGCAGCACCAGAACTCCTCTCCTCTGTGGAGCTTTTTTTTTTCAATGCGAGAAGGAGCGTTTTTGGGCTTCCCCGGGTCTCCTCCCGTCTCTGTTTGACTGCACACATCCAGAGACCACGTGAATGTCTCTCGTCTCGCTCTCGGCTGACTACATAGGAATGCAACGGTAAGAGGCAGCCTCTCTCGCTCCCTCCCTCCCTCCCTCCCTCCATCTCGTTTTTGAAACACTCCGAGACATCCGCACACAAGTCTACACTACACTAACAGCCCACTCCCCGATGCCCCGCTATTCCTCGCCCCCTCTGCCTGCGTTTGGATGCCGGCACAATCCACTATGACAGGTGCCGCGGCCCCCGTTCGACGACCCGACCGTCTTCAGCAAGCCCGCCTACATGTACCGGGAGCAGGAGGCCGAGGAGCACAGTGAGGTGGGCAGCTGACGCTGTGCACTCCCTCCACACGCGACTGCTGTGTTTGTACCCCTATTTTGTGCGGGAAACGTGCAACTTTAGACTAATGGGGGAGGGGTGGTAGGGTTCGTTGATGGGACGACGCAAGCGAAGACGATTTGACTGTGCGCTGCTCTGAAGCATCGGGAGCTTGAAATCTGTCGGTGCTCTCTCGGATTTAGGATCGTTCCTGCCTGCTGTTTAGGGTGAGACTGCTGTCGTGAGACTACCCCGCGGGCTGTAGCGTTGGGTGTTTATTTGTCGTCGTTGTTTCGGAATGCTATGCGATGGAATCTAGCAAGGACGGTGACACCAACGCCAGTACCAACAGCGAACAACCACCACTTAGCAGCAGCACCAGCAGAACAACAACAACAACAGCAACAACAATCCCACTCGCAGAAGCAGCAGCACCAGCAGAGCAATTACAACAACAGCAACAACAATCCCACTCGCAGAAGCAGCAGCAGCAGCAGAGCAACAACAACAACAACAACAACAACAACATAACAGCCACACCACTTAGCGGAAGCACCAGCACCAGCACCAGCACCAGCACCAGCAGAATAACGACGCCGACGACAACAACAACAAAAACAACAACAACAACAACAACAACCACAACCACAACAACACAATCGCTGGTCAGGACGAGGACTACGAGGGTCCCGGGAAGTTCGACGCGTTCGAACGCCCTGCCTTCAAGAGACGGACCATCAAGACCCGAGCCATCCAGTGGGCGCTAGAGGACCGAAGGGACCACGCCCAGGGGGGCGGCATCAAGTACACCGGCGACAAGTGAGACACACGCATTGCTTAGTGAGCACATACCTCCATGACGTACTCCATGCTGTGACGTACTCCCCCGTTACCATTACACAGGAGACAGCACCCAGCAGAATCATCGGTATCTCTACGGCGACCCTCCCCCCCGTTAAGCTCTTGCAGTACACAGACAACACCCTACATTATCGTCTCTGTGCGCCCACCCCAAGTGCTTCCCCTCTCCTGGTTGCCCCCCCCCCCGCGCTCGGAATCACACCTTGGCTAGGATCACCCAGCAAATGAGCAGGTACGCGACGTTCAAGGTGGACCCCAACCGGCCACAGACGATCGAGGTGACACCCATCGATGAGTGGTGGCAGTTCAAGAAGGTAAGGAGGTGAAGAGACCCCCGGAGTTCCCCTCTCTTGACCTTGAACCGATACAATAGCCGTCTTAGTCGCACCTCTCTCTCTTTTTATGTAGGTCTATTGTCGATAAAAATAACATCACAGAAATCCTGATCCTAACATGACAAAAATATTACTCGCTCATCATAGAAATACTTGCCGCTCCTGATATTGTAGTTCTCCTTTTTGTTTGTTTCCCCCAGCGTTGAAGTAGGTACGATTGGTTGACCGTTGGCGGAAATCGTCTCGGGATTTTATTGTGGACAGTAGTAGTCGTTGTTGTTGCTGCTGCTGCTGCTGCTGCTGCTGCTGGTTTTTTGCCGTATGCCGGTAGCGAAAAACAGACGACATCTGATCCCTCCCGTTTCTCTATGTCGTGGCTTCATTATTGTTTGCCTTTGTGTCTTACGTGTGTTGCTGTAGGCTCCAAAGGATACGGGGAAGAACATGACGGTCAAGGAGGCTGAGGAGCTCATGAAGAAGCAGGAGAACTTTCTCGGCCCTCTGTCGCTGGCCAACAGGATCTTGGGCAAGAAGAGCCTGGTGAGAGCGGACCCTGCCTTGTGGCAAGGCAGTGCTGCTGCTGCTGTTCTCGTTGTTGTTCTCGTTGTTGTTGTTGTTGTGTGTTGTTGCCATGGTATTGGTGTTGGTGTTGGTTTTATGTTTGCTGTTGTTGTTGGTGTTGATTTGATGATGATTGTTGTTAGACCCGCTGGTGGTGTGGTTGGTCGTGGTTGTTGTTGTTGTTGTTGTTGTTGTTGTTGTTGCCGTTGCTGTCGCTGTTGTCGTTTGTGTTTTTTGTTACCGTCCTCCTCTTGCAGTAACACCTTGAGCATCGTCTAGGCTGCTTGTTCTAGAGAAAATAATACCCTCCCCAATGTGCCCAAAGTCATGATGGGAGGCTTGCTCCTCGTACGGACGCTCGTACTTCGCTTTCTTCAAGCCCTTCCCCGATAACGCCCTGACGTGTTTTTTTTGTTGGACAAATCTGCGCGGCGCGTCTTTTCGGTCATCGTCCTCGTGGCAATTAATTGAATCCGCGATCATCCTCTGGTGCTCCGCCACCCGTAAATGAAGGAGGCTGCGGCGAAGGAGAAGGCGGAGCAATCTCGGTACGGAGGCCTGGACCATGAGGACACTCAGGCAAGCAAGCCCCAGCGTACCTCGCTCTGTTCGAATGGCCCAGGAACTTGTGACTTTTTTTCGCCAGTCCTGCGAAAGAAGGGATACCACGCCCCCCCCCCCCTCCGCCCGTGCGGGATGCTTGCTTTACTCTCAGCTCCTGTTTACTTTTTTTTTTTTTTTGTCTTCACTTCAAATCAGCGCTCACAGCACTAGTGCCGTTTACTCCAACCCGTGGTCACACAGAAGAGCCCCTCTCTACTTACACCCTGCTGAGAACGCCGTTCGCAGTGCAGATGCCTGATTTAGAACCCTGCTGTCGTTTCTAAGCCGTCCGATGCGGGGCAGCTGTTCTACTTAAGTTTTATTCGATACCTACAGCTAGCTGGTAATACCCGTGGTCTTCCACACGGCATGCCTCTCTTCCCCGTTGGTGTTCGTTGCCCCCCCCCCTCCCCCATGATCAATGGGCTAACCGCTGAGGCATGCAAAGCATGAGTACGCTCCCCCCGGAGCCTGGTATTTTCTTGTGGCAAGTCGTTGCCTTTGGTTCAGTGTTTTCCGGAAGAACTCGTGGAGTAGTTTTCCGTTTCGTGTTTTTTGTTCCGTTACGATCATAGCTGGCGGTGTTGGTTGGTGGGTGTGTCTTTTTTTCGTTTTGTTTTTACTCCTTTTGTTTTTTCAGGTTTTGAAGGAGGCCGGGATGAAGCTGGCGAGCCCCGAGGATACGCAAGCCGTAGATGGCTTCGGTGACGGGAGCGGATCGGACGGCGGCGCTGGGGAGATCGAAGTAAGCGAGCGAGACATGGGGATACAAGGAGTGCCGCTGCCTTACTTGCTGGCGCCTCCACACGGTGGCTGCCTTTTTTAGTAGTATCAAGCTTCCAATTGCAAGCTTTGGTTGCTGTTGTTTTTTTCGATGGGAGAGTCGTGTAGAGTTTTTCCGCTTCATTTCATTGAATTCTTCGACAGATTTCAAGTTATTTGTTTAGTTACCCCGCGGTAACAGTTCGCACCGTGGCAGGCGCTCACTTGTTGTTTCTATCGCTTTCTGCCTCGTTTGGTTATTTTGACCAGTAACGGAACGGTGCATATTTCTCTCCGTGTTTCTTTCTCCAATTCTCGTAGGATGCAGCAGACCTGCTCCAATTTTGTTAAATTCCTTATAACATTCTACGACGCAGCACATTCTACTCCGACTTGTAGGATACGTTGGGTAACGTTCTATAGTACGACACAGCAGACCTGCGCTCTCATTTGTGTGACGCTCCGGTTGTTTTTGTCTGTCTCCCTCCTGTCCTTGCTGAAGAAAGGGGAGGTGGACTCGGACGCGGGGGGCGAGGACGATGACTTCGGTGACGAGGTTCGGAGCGACGACGAGGAGGAAGTCGGAAACGACGACGCGAACGAAGGGGGTGGAACTCTTCACCAGGTGAAACGTCTTCTTTTTTTTTTTTTTCAGAAAATATACAGATTCTACGTGTAGGCTGCCGTCAAGTCCCCACCGCTTCGTGTACTTTTTCTCGCATACATGCGGGACAATGAAAGAAAGGACTATCCGTTCGTGATGTAGCCACAGCAAGCAGTCGAAGGGAGTGTTTTGATTTTTGTGTGAAGTTCACCCCTCGCATACGTAGTATGTTTTGCGGTTGTGTTTGGCTGATTTTAGAAAATAGATTTGCATACATCGAAGAAAGACTACTGTACCCGTTCCAGATATTACGATGGTCGAAGGGGATGGGTTGAATTTTTTTACAATTTTTTTTAGGAACGGGTTGAAGTTTTCTTTTCAAGACGAACTGGAATAACTCGTTGAGTTTTGTTTGTTGTTGAAGCCCTCCACCACCGACACCCCACTTTGTCAACTGTACCGAATTCTGCTGGGATGTCCATATCTAAAACACACGTGTGTGTCCAGATCGCGTGCACGTGATATGCTTCAAGTGGTTTTCGTGCGACGCCTTGATCACATAAAAAAAAAAAGCTGTTTGTAACACAAAAGCCCGGCAGCAGTAATACCAACACCAAAAAGGACCACTTTTCCTGTGTTATCTGACGGTACTGTATGGTCACACATCACTGCTGTCCCTTCGGGTCCCGTGATTTTCTTTTGTCGACTACGACGGTATGTACAACACGAATCTCGCAGGACGACGAGGACCTGAACGACTCCGACGACGAGCACCTCACGGACGACGAGCACCATGAGCTGCAGAAGCTGTCCCGCTCCGTGAACGCGGAGGGCGGCCATGTGGAAGAAGAGGTGAGAGGATGGCGTATTGTGCTTGCTGAAAACTCGTGTCGGTGTTTTGATTGGAGTGATACCGGTTCAAATGTGTTTACACCGTTCACGGTACGTACACCATGGTGTTGAACTATGTCGGTTTTTGATTGGAGTATAGCGGTTCAAATGTGCTTACACCGTTTGGGACATACACGGCATGTACACCATGGTGTTGGACTAGTGTCGGTTTTCGACTGGAGTACAGCGGTTCAAATTGTTTACACCGTTTGGGAAATGCACGGTATGTACACCATGGCGTTGAACTCGTGGCGGTTTTTGACTGCAGTAACGGTTAAACGTGGTTTCACCGTTTGGGACGTACATACACACGTGAACACCATGGTGTGAGTTTTTCCGAAAATCTCTTTAGAGCGCGTGGGTTTGGACGCAACGCCACCGTTAGGCGCGTGGCGCTCTTGTTTTGGTCGTTCATGCGTGTGGTGAGCACACTACGGGCGGCCGCAAAAGCGAAAACCATTTCTCTTGCGCTCTGGCTGTGTCGTTACCAACGGGCAAGAGGAGAACGAAAGAAGAGGCATCTCGCAGCATCCCCGGGGGGGGGGGGGAGAGGAGGCGCTTGAAGTCGTGTGGTGTGCTCTATTGAAAGTCCTGACTGCACCGAATATATCACGTCTCTCACTTCGCTGCCGAGGGGGAAGCCATTGAACGGGCACGCACATAGGCTACTCAGGCGGTTCTGAAAACATGAACAACGTACATGTGAAAGAGATGGGGCTTTCGTTCGATTTTCCCCGTCCTTCACACGTTTCGAGCACATCGGCAGCAGCAGCAAAAATACCAACAACGTGCACAGACGATGCACGCCTTGATGCTCATGCCCCGAAACCGCCCTCGCAGGCTCTATCCCTGAGGGGAGCCGCGCTTCATTCGCAACCAGCGTCACGCTCCTCTCTTTCATCGCCCCTTCTGTTTGCTGCAGGACGACTACACCGTTTCAGGGGACATCGGGAGAGCATCCCCTACCGTACCCCCCCCTGGAAACCCAAAGCCCGCCGCCGGTGCTCCCGCGGGAGACGGCGCTGACTCATCGGCAGGAGGAGGAGGAGGAGGAGGAGGAGGAGGGGGTTCGGGCAAACGAGGAGCTAGCGCAATGGAGGTGGGGGGAGGGGAAGGGGGGGGCTCCGCGGGGGGACGGGCGGGGGGACGGGCGGGGGGTACGGGGTCGGGGGGTGAGGGAGGGAGCGGAAGCAAGCGCGCGAGAACGGCGCAGAAGAAGGGGGCGCAGGAGATCAACCAGGCGAACGTGGTGGCGACGCTCAAGCGCTACGGCGGGCGATTGGCCAGCAAGGTGTGCATAGATTCTTGTTGCTGAATTGGCGGTCGCGAGGAACGTGAAGAGATGGAACGTGGTGGATGCGGGTTGTATGTAGTGTGGATAGCGGACGGAGTTAGTGTTGGGCCGGTCGGTTATGCGGTGGGATGGGTTCGGGTGGATGATATATGTATCATGATTGTTCCGCGGAATACGTAGCTTGGAGTGTGTGCAATACGGCTGTGTTGGTACAAGCAGGTTTTTTTTCATGTGGGTCACAGACGAATGGTCACCTCGTCGGTTCGGCGCTGACGAGACATGCTTGATATGGGAGAGAAAAGTGACACGGAAGGTTCCGCTGGAAGTGTTGATTCTATCGAGACTGTTCGGGCTCTCGTCGCGAACCGGCTACGTTTGTGGTGCAACCTGGTTCCAGTTTGTGGTACGGTTATCGAGCTGGCCTCCGAAGAGAAACGCAGCTTACTCGTCATGCAGCAAACCACGGGCTTGCTTATCCCACCACAACCCGTCGTTTCGTTTGGCGCTTGGAAACCCACCGGCCAACATAACGTTCCGGCTTGATCATGTCCTCTCCCCCGCTACCCGTTCGCATGTTGGGCCTTGGGCTTGGCGGGTTTCCAGGCCCTTCTGGGGCATTTCGTGGCGGCTCTGAAGGCGGACGGCAAGAAGAACAAGGAGGCGGCGGTGGCCAACCTTCGGGCGATTCTCAAGAAGGTGCAGTGCGGTTTTATAGATGCTCCGAACCACGTGGCCCAGTCCCTGGAGTTGGAACAAAACAACCGGTTTTGTGATAGTGTAGTCGTGAAGGCTGTCTGGTGGTGTCGTCGTGATGGCAGGAGGGGCTGTGTCATGGTGTCGACGTGACGGCAGGAGGGAGGAGCACTGGTTTGCGTTGTTTTTTGTCTCGGGTGCCAGCGATGGCCGCTCCCTTGGGGCGAGCGAGGTGACAGCATACAGCAGACATCAGGAATCGCCGCGCTTCCGTTTATGCACAGCTAGCGCCCGCACTTGAGAACCTCTATTTTTGGCCGAGGCTGGGCTTCTTAGTTCCTGCGTAGTGGCCGTTCTATCGCTTTTAGCTTAAGGGGTTCTTAACATGCCTCACAAATGGTGCTCAAGTTCTTGTGTTGTGAAAATGTTGGGCACGAAGGTGTAAACCATCAAGCTCTCGAGTGCGGATGCTAGCTGTACTGCAATGGTGGTTTTCGGCTTAGGCCGCACCCGCCGGGTCTTTCGGGTGGGGAGGGGGCTCCTAGATTTCATATGTACCAACCACATCTGTTTTGTTTCCATCTCAAACAAGGTGCGTGATCGTTTGTTTTGTGCCACGATTTGGTGGTACATTTTGTGCCACGATTTGGTGGTACATTTTCTGCCACGATTTGGTGGTACAAACGTGCGTGACTTGTGGTAGCAAGAAGACTAGCAAAAAACGCGTCTGGGAAACATCGTTGAACGCTGCTATGCGTACAAGCTTGTAAGAGAAGTCATTTCGGTCGGGCCATCGTTGAGCAACCCGTGTTGCTCTGCTCTGGTCTGTTCTGTTTCGTTCAGGTGGCAACGAAGGTGGACGACGCGATCGAAGGCACCGTGTGGGTTCTCAAGAAGCACTTCAGCTGAGGATGACAGCCAGGAGCGGGCTGGGATTTTTTGCAGCGGTGATATATTTAGCTCTTCGTTGGATCTTTGGCGCGGCAGGCCGTTAGGCGGGGATCTTGTTTTTGGAGTCGCCCCAGTCTGGGGTGTTGTGTCGCTGGTATTGGGGTTGTCGGCTTCGTTAACGCCCGTCGACGACGTCGGTAGGTTGCGTGTACAACGTCGTTTCGCCCCCCCCTCGGTAAAAAGGACGTAGACTACCGGAGCCGGCAGGGGCAGGACATAACATGACCGATAAGCGCCGCCGACCTTGCCACAATGACAGCAGTGGAAGAGAGAGAGAGCGAGAGAGAGAGAGAGAGAGAGAGAGAGAGAGAGAGGGAGAGAGAGAAGGCAACGAGCAGAAGTGCGTGATGACCCAGAAGCCGCGGATGCAGGCTGATGTGTGTCTTACTAGATTTCGCGCTTGGACCAGGCACTCGCATCGCGAGAAGGGCTGCCGGCCTGCCGTGTGCGTGGATGTAGCACTTGAGCTTGAAATCGTAACCAACAACGGCCGTACCCGCCAAGAGGCTTCGCGTTCATGAGACTTCGGGAGACATGTTTTAGCCAAGCAGGTAGTCGGGGGCAAGCTGCTCTTGCTTGGTGTTGCCAACAAATACGATGGACGTAATACTGTAGACAAAAAGAGTACGGTACGAAGAGTCAACATTAACACTTAAGCTTGCCTCTTGCCGCAACCACCATCCTAGATGGTACTGTAGATCGTACGCCACCCAAGATACGTGGAAACCCCTCGTTACGTGTTCGTTCAGACGGCAACAACGGTGGGACACAGCAGGAGTATAGTAGTCCTCTTCGACGACAACGACGACGACATCGAAAACAACACCGACGACGACAACGACGACGACACCAATCACCAAACCAATCAAAGACGTGGATGTTCCGACATAAATACATGTATTTCGTCCCTTCGGAGTGGAGGCCATCTCTATCTACAAAGACAGCTCTTACACGACAGCACATATATACCCGAAACCCCCCTTCATGGCCTTTCCACCGGCGCGAACTCGTCGCTCCCCCACTCGTTCCAGCTCCCGTCGTAGTTCGACCACCAGCCTCTACCGAAACCGTCTGAATCACTACCGCTACTACTAGCTGCTGCTGCTGCTGCACCACCGCCCCGCAGCTCCCGCAGCTGGAACAGGAGAAACAGAGCGACGGTACTGGCCACGCCACCGTTGCAGTAGGCGATGATGGGGGCGGCGGACGGCGAGGTGTCCACGGCGGCAGACTCGAAAACCTACGTATTTATTCGGCGAAAAGAGGACCCGAGAGAGAGAGAGAGCGGGAGAAGTACAACGGAAAAAAAGAGACGGAAAAAGTTGTTGCAAAAGCAATGCGTGGGTATATGCCAACAAGGCGTATCCACCCACGCCGATCTCCACCAGCCGTGGTTGAATGCGTGGCTACTTGTACAGCGGCGTGGAGGTCCTGAGCGGGATCGGTAATACAAGTACCACAAAGGGCACGTCGCCCAACATGAAGCAAGGGACTAAAATAACAACAAGCAACGAAGAACATCCATCTTTCGGTGTCGATCATGAACCGGGGGGGACGGGATACACAATTCCCATCCTCAAAATACTCACGGACACTGTCCGTTGTGACAATGATCGGGCGGGATATATATTTCCATCCTCAAGTCTATAACCACAAACGCCGCGTACTGTACCTCGGTGATGCCCTCGAGGTCCTTGAAGACCCTGAAACTTCCGTCAGGACCGGTTCCCTCGGCCAAGAAGGAGCGATAGGGAGTGTTCACGGCTCCCGGGATGTGCCCGCCGAGCCGTGCGCGTCTGACCTCGCCTGTTCCGTTGTTTTTAATTAACATCAAGGGCATACATGTCACACAGGACTGAGCCGAAACGCAAAAAAAAAAAGAAGGGATGAATGAAATTCACACGCCCACTAGCTGTAAGTGCAAGGACGGCCAGGCACGGATGGCAAAAAATAAAATAAAATAAAAAATAACAAGAATCCGGGTGTAGAACAAGGCACGAACGATAAGCAACAGACAGTCATCGCCTGAGTGAAGCAAAAAAGCAAGGCCCGCAGGTTCAAGCCGTGAGGAAGCCGAAACACTACACTATTCTTAACCAACGAAACGCGTACTGGTACAGTTGTACGTGTGCGCCCCAGGTTCCGGGCGCGAAAGGCTAAAAGCCAAACAAGGTCAAACGAACAGCCCCGGCCTCGAGCACAAGCGCACACCATGGGTAATTTACTTCGACTGTGCTGTGTGCGGCTACGGAATACCACACGTGCCAGCAAGGATAAACCGACGGTATCATGGAAAGTGACGAAACTGGGGCGTTATCGTGCGGTTCATTTTCTTAATAACACGATCTCCATCGCACCAAAGACGACCACGGACAGCTTGCTTCAGAAAGGATCTGGAATTCGATCATCATGCAACCTTGTTTTTGCTGGAAGCATGCAACCTTGTGGCTGCTGGAAGAAGCGCCCGACCGAATACACAAACGAATTCACCCCAAGAATACAACCAGCACGTCGCCCGGATCAGACCCTCAACCAGTGTACCAGTGTATTGCGCCGCAGCCCGGGCATCCAGGAGCTGCACAGCGGCGTCGGCCTGGCGATCGCTGCCGCCCCCTGCTTTTCCCCTCCTTGCAAGGGCGGCTCGGATGTCGGCCGACGTGGCAATCAAACCCGGCCTCTCGCGCTCCAGGGGAATGCCCCATTCCGTGTAGACCTGTGCAAACCAACCAAAAGCACGCAGGAGACAAAGTTTCAAAGATGTGTCTTGCGTTTTTGCTTTAATACCGAAGCACGCAGAAAACAAAGTTTCAAAGAAATGTCTTGCGTTGTTGCATAATGCCGAAGCGCGCAGAAAACAAATTTCAAAAGAAATGTCTTGCGTTTTTGTTTGTTTCCTCGGACACGCATCAAAACACAACGGACCGAACAACACCGAAGACCGGGCGTGATCGACCAAGCGCGGGGAGCTTCAACCAATAGAGACAGTCTCGACGTGAGAGCAAGCAGAAACAAAACAGATCAATCAGAGTGAAGCGGGAGCAAGCAGTGAATCGGGGTTGGAATATCAGGGGATGTGAGACGACGGGAGTGATCGTCCCCACCGAGACACAAGACTACTTGTAAATGGGAGTGAATCCGACGGCAGTGAACACGAAAGAACAGATATCGATCACACGTGACACCAAAGCGATTCCATCACCGCAGCATCACAGTGCCTCCCGGGGGCGACGAAAGTGGACATTGTCACCGTTATCGTGTGCTAAATGTATCGATGATGCTACACATGGCATGCGCGGGCAAAAGCCTCATGAAGGTCAACGTAGCGTCTTGGTGCGTGAGTGTGGGCTAGCGGCTTTTAGCCGCACACCCTGCACTGCTTCATGCTGTAAACCCGCTGCTTGTACGGTCTCTCTGATGCTTGCATCGTATTGCTCATGGTATTCGTGTGTTTGCCGGAGCCAACCGTATTTCTGCGAAGGTTTTCGCGGTTCGGAATGGTTCCCCGCGTACAAGAACCAATTCGCGGAGACTTTGAGCATCGTGCCAAGGATGCCTGAAGGTACTCGGGCACGAGCCATACTGCAGTGTGTACCGAAGACCCCGCTGTGTGCCTCTAAGAACGAAGCGTGAAAGATCCGCTGCCGCAAGAGAGAAAGATGTGCCGGAGCACCCATAACATCGAAAGAGGACACATACAAAAGATAAATGACAGCTGTGGAACGACAGCAGTGAGACAAACACAAAACGAAAACAAATCTTGTGTGAAACAAGCGCAAGTGAAACCTAGCCTGAAAAATTGTAGCAACGGTCGCCAAAGCGACGCGCACAAAACAGCAGCAACTACGTCGACAACAACTGACAGCAACCAAGGCCACGACCTAACGGTGCGCCTTCCCCCACTACCAAAACACACAAATAAAAAAAAATCAAACCTAGAGCATTTCCGCCTACCTTCAGTGGGCACGGGCAGTCGGGAGTGATGTCTCTCTCTTCCGCCTGCCACTTAGCCCACCCCCCGTCCATCACTGCCACTTTATCGTGCCCAAATCGTCTACGAAGCAACGCAAAAAAAAATCGCGCGGGTGGGTGCGACACACGAAAAGGGCGTACATAAGTGGGTGAGGGTATCGAGCGGGTCTGAGGGGAATTTTGCGGAAGAAGAAATTTGGACACGAGTGGCACCCCGTAGGCGTAGTGTCGACGGTCGCAACGACCACGCGCGGCGCAAATCGATGTATAGACCAAAAACAGATGTACACGCATGAGAAATGGTGCTGTGGGTCACGCGTCAGATGAAGCCAGACATCGTGTGTTCGCACGTGTGCACCAAGGGAACCGGGCGCGAAGTATCGGGGGGACAAACAAGAGCGGTTGGTGTGTGCTAGACAGCATTGTTTTTCGAGTGCTGGTGGCGGTGTGGGCGGTGCTCTCTTCTTGGTTGGAGTGTCGAAAACTTCTTCGTGGTGGAAAATCGTTCCGGTCCCCTCTCTGTTTTCGGCACCCCGAGCTTGCGTGGGATCCCTCCCTACCAGACGGCAGAAATAAACATTGCCTCCTTGGCTGTTTAAACCCCCCATGACCAAGGACTCCTTGGCCATGGGGTATATAAACAACAATACAAATTGAGAGAAAAAAAACAAACAGAAATGACCGACCAAGGACTCCTTGGCCATGGGGTATAATTTATAAACAAAAAAACAAATTGAGAGAAAAAAAAAACAGAAATGACCAAGGCGACAACCGAAACTGATTGTAAGAAGAGGGGGTTCAAGTCCGACCCACTCGGCACCATGGGCATCTGCCGGGTCACACTGCTGTTCGAGCGCAGGTTCGACTTCCGTCGTCACTCTGGGTGGCTCACAGGGCCGTCTCTGGACACAATTTTTTTTCCACGGATGAATAAAACGTTCGCCAAACTTGCAGCCGTCATCCTCCGATGACGGTACTCACGTCTTCACCATCCACTCGCGTCTACTCCATTTTCACGAAGGTGGTTAATATTCTACCTTCCCCCAGAATGGCCCAACGACTACGGCATGCACGGCTATGAGTACATCCCCCCCCCCCCTCTCCACAGACTAGGCCAAAACCTGCTGCACGCAAGACACCACCGTTCGGACCAAGAGGCGTGGCGCACCTGCCCACCCCCGTGCACAAACGCCTGCACGAATATCGTTAACCCCCCGGCTCGATATCGGTCTTCCCAGCAGGTCCCTTCTCACCGCATCGCCCACCAAAATCTCGTGGCGAAGAGCATGTCTCCGTTGTCGTACACGACCACGCGCTTGTCCGCCCCCACCCCCCTCTCTTGCATGGCGATCACGAAGCTCTCCCGGTCGGTGAGCTGCGCGGGCACTCCGTTTTCGTCCGTGTAGGCGATGTCCTACCGAGAGCGTTCCACGGAACGATCCACGAAAAAACCGGGTGACCGTGTGTAGTGGCATGGGGGCTGGTTGTTGTTGTTGTTGTTGTTGTTGTTGTTGTTGTTGTTGTTGTTGTTGTTGTCTTCACATTAAAAACCATTCCGTTCTCTCTACTATGTACCTTCTTCTGTCCAAACTATAATAGTCTAACGCTTGACGCGGTCGGTTCCCGTGGTCACAGCCTAACTTACCCTAAATAGGTACACGAACATAAAATGGACCCAAAGGATCCGCAAGTCAATAGAACTCAACGACATATAGTCTAGGGCAATCCGATGGGGAAAGGAAAAATCGCGGCAGCAAAGAGCGTTCGCTTGCCACGGGCGCACCACCGTGGGTGTCGTCACCCACGCTGTTCGATACGCCTCCGCCTTGGTTTCTCCATCTCATTGGTATTCCTACGTGTTCTTATGTTGCACGCGGCATTTTCTGCGATCCCTGATAGAACGTGCGTGTGTGTTGGCGGCGGGTGCTTATCGCCTTCTGACTGGTCTGTGCTTGCAATCATATTTCGAGAGCAGCGTGCTCGGGAAGCCGAGAAGGCACAGGCCCACGTACTGCTGCACCATCAACACGGATCACTGCAGCAACGCCGAAGCGAACAGGTTGCTTCCCTGTGAACCTCGGCATTCTGGAAATACCAGAGGAGAGGTCCAGAAAAGAAAGAATGTTGGGACACTTCGAAGTGTATCATGAAAACGGTGCCCATTTCGATCAAACACTACTAAATACTTACCGTCTTTTCGCCCTCTCCCGATGCATGCACAAAAAAACAGGCAAACTCCGTTCGCTGATACCTACCCGGCGAACACCAGACGGAAGGCAGGCGGTGAGGAGGGGCGAGCGCGATATTGGCCGCCGGATGACAAATGCCCGGCACTTAAGGGCGCGGGGGGGATCGCAGTACCTCCTCTGAAAAATCCAGGAAACGCCTGCATATCTCGGTTTTCCAAAGTCTAACTCCAGTACGAAACTACCATCGTAAATTAACCGCCCGCAGCGGTCGCTTGTGTACAATGTTAGTAGCTGAGGTTGTACCCCTTGCGATACACTACAGACTAGCGGTCCGCGATTTTCCAAACGATCCTTCTATCATCGAGTTCGGTGAGCTACAAGCTAGATTTTTGAAGCTGCTGTGCGGTCCAATTTTGAAACGCTTCAAGCACCTTTGCCTAAAGGCTGGACATGCATATACATGACCCTAGGCATTCAAATCGACAATGGCGACCAGCTGGATATGTGAGGGAAGAGCTGCGCTGAAGTTCGCGGCCCCATACACTCACATAGGCGGTGATTCGTGTTCACCGTGTGCTTGAAGCGTTTCAAAATTGGACCGCACAGCAGCTTCAAAAATCTAGCTTGTAGCTCACCGAACTCGATGATAGAAGGATCGTTTGGAAAATCGCGGACCGCTAGTCTGTAGTGTATCGCAAGGGGTACAACCTCAGCTACTAACATTGTACACAAGCGACCGCTGCGGGCGGTTAATTTACGATGGTAGTTTCGTACGGGAGTTAGACTTTGGAAAACCGAGATATGCAGGCGTTTCCAGGCGTTTCCTGTTTTTTTGAAGAGGAAGTACTGCGATCCCCCCCGCGCCCTTAACGTTGACAACAACGTGGTTCACCTTGGTCCAGTCTACGAAAACGGCCCCGGGGATGTGGGCGTCGAGGTAGTCCGCCTCCATTCCCTCGTAGCGCGTGCTGAAGAAGTCCGACCCCTCGTCTTGGTGCTTGACGACCTGGCCGCGGATATCCACCAGCGCAACCTGCGGCGGCGGAAGCAGCAGCATCGGGGCCAAGCACGGAGCGCCAGAGCGAAGTGGCGGGTGACAACGTGTATGTGGTGGTTGCGAAAAGCTCAAGCGGCCATGGGCTGGGGGTGTATGTGTTGTGTGTGGAAGATCAGCTGATATGCATACGGCTGCGCAGCCACCGTGCTAGTTCTGCGGGGCACTGTTGGAGTCGCTTACGCTGACTTTACACGTATGGCTGGTCCCTGGATGGACCTACTGTAGATACAAAACTGCCGCGCCGCCTCGTGTGGGAAGCATCCCTGTTGTACGGTGCCCGATTCGCTTTGTTCGTGGTCCGAGAGCGACAGCGCGTGCTTGAAGCTATGCACACCACAATAAGGATTGAACACCGTGTGTGATCCTCGCGGGCCTGCAACAGTTTCAGTGCCACAGAAGCCGCAGTAGCCTGCGGCTTGCCACGTGAGCTCCGGCGGCGTGTTTGTGTTGTCTGTTGCCACCCGACTTGTCTTCTTCCAAGACGTCAACTACTGAACCTTTCGGTATGATTTCTTCTGACCCACCAGTCGGGGCAACAAAAAAAGCAACTCATCATGCGGGGGGGGAACCACGATCACTGCAGCCTTTCTCACAAGCAAGATGTCGCTTTGCTACAGCAGTACACGCGTTTAGTGCAGAGAGAGGTGATGGCATTGGACATTGGACGCTCCGGAAACATTAGGAAACATAAATACAAACACAGAAAGACTACCCATTCGAGATAAGACCACAGTCGAACGGGATGTGTTGAAGTCTTCACAGTGAATGGAGGGAAGCCGGCTGGGTACTGGGCATATTTGGAGTCGATTTAAGCCTATACACTGAAAAAATTCATGTAAAACCTGACAGTCCCGTGTGTCACGACGTCACGACGGCGCGAAATCTAAAGCAGAAAACATAACTCTGGGTCACCCAAGTGGTCCTCAACCCATGCTGTCGTGACGGTGTTCAGCAGCTCATGCCCACACCACGATTCGCCAGCCCCTGCCGTCGCCATTACAGCAGTCCGGCTGCGGCGGATGCTTGCAGCAGGGGTTGTTGAAGAACACAGGAGGCGGGGCCCGAGACGCGGTTGCACTCTGAGAGAGGTGCTTGATAGGAGACGGTGGTTCATGAATGCCTCTGCGGGAGGACCTGCAGAGACGCGACGCCTACCGGCAGACGTGGTGACCGCCACTAGAAGCCATCTTACAGCCCCCATATCCCTCTCGGCATGTAGAGTGGGAGCAGCGTTCATGATGAACAGCCCGGGGGGACACGCGGACATTGTTGTGGTACTACAGTAATGTATACGCGGAGCCCCGCGTGGCAACAACACAACCACAACAACACAACAACGCACCACCCCCACAAGGACACCGAGGCGGGGAAGGAGGAGAGACAGAGGGAGGGAGATAGCCAGATATAGAGGAGACATAGCCGGGGAGACGGAACCTCGACCACCATGTCGCGACGACGGGTAGTTGTGAAGCAGCAGAAGCCTCAGGGAGGCGGTATGCAGGCTGCTATGAAAGAGGTGCGATCGAAATCGAGTCCATTTGCTACGAGAGATACCCACTTACAAAGCCAAAGCCCTCCCCTTGCGCAGCGAGCAGCAGTCACAAAATACTCCTATGCATATTGTATACACATAATGTTTGTCGTTTTCTGAGCAGGTGGCTAGAGCGGAGCCCTGTGGGCCGTTGTTTCTTCCCAAAGGCGGGCAATTTCTTCGTTCGTTTTTGGGTGAAACAGGTGTTGCGGGCAAACGCACAGCAGCTCTCAATCTCGGCGCGCCTGCAGCCTACAAATACAGCAGTACTTGATAGACAGCAGGCAGACATGGTGGGAAAGTTTCTAGCTCTTTTCTGCTCTGCTGGCGCTCTTGTCCGCAACGGGATGAGGAGCTGATGACATGCTGTTGATACACGAAATCGATTTTACAGTCGGCATTTGTTTGTTACGGTAGTCTGCAAATCTACTGCTGTCGGCGACTGCAGCGGTACTCCGACAGCCGACCTCTTTGAACTACTGGTGCATGCTTGTGTTGGTTGGTGTTGCTGATGTTGCTGATGTTGTTGTTGTTGTTGTTCTTCTTCTTCTTCTTCTTCTTCACAGCGAGAACCGTTCCGGTCTCCGCTCAGTACCTCCTAACGTCCGTACCGGTGCAACTGAACCGGAAGCCTTCCGTGGTCGCAGGCCAACTACCCGAAAAGGGTACAATTTTCTACCGTGCCATTCTCCAAACAACGGAAATAAATGGACCCAGTAAAAATGCTCCTTCACGATACTTGTACTACTACTGTACATAGCACAGATCACCAAAACTACCGCGAGACGGGCGAGCCCGGAAAAAAATGACTAGACAAACCGGGAGGCCCCATCCAAACAAAAATGGACACCTTTGCGCTATTATAACAGTAGCCTTGCCTCCTAGAACAAGAGCAGTACACGGGGTACAAGATGTTCTTTCGGCATGCCACCCCGTCACAACGACGATCGATTCTCCAGGAGTCAAATCGACACACGACATAAGCGTAGATCACGGCGAAGATCCTTCAGGACGTCTTGTTCTCGTGTGTGCAATGAAGCGCACCACGTGGGGTTCTTCAAACACTCGTTCGCCAAGCATCGGCGCCCTTCGGCGCCCCAACGACAGCGAGCCCTTCAAACGGTGCAACTACGTCGACGGCGGTTTCCTCGACATCCCCAAGCATACTAAAGAGCAGGAAAAGACAGAATCCCACGACAACAGCAGCCTGCAGTTTTACATGGCGCGGTTTGTGCATGGGTGTACATACGTCTGTAGTTCCAAATTCCACCGGCCCTCTCCCGTACGCTTCGCATTTCGCCCATGACACGCCTGTGGACACCCGCACGCGCACGTTCAGCATTAACATTTACATCGGGAAATACACCTTGCTACAGCTGAAGCTCCTTGTGTACCGGTTGTGGCCTATGACACGCGGGACCCGTGTTATTGGTGATGGCCATCAACGCGTACTGCCCTACGACCTACTTGACGCAAAACCTCGCAACTCGCTTATGGCGATCGCCATGAACGCGTACCGCCTTGAGACCTACCACTTGAGCCAAAACCTCGCAACTCCCACCATTGGAGTCGAGAGCTTTTGGCTCAAGTAGGTCTCAAGGCAGTTCGCGCTCTTGGAGATCGCCAAAAGCGAGTGGTGAGGTTCTGGTTGAGGTATGTCCTCAGGCAGTACGCCTTGATGGCTGGCGAAAAATGTGGGTTCTCACTCTACAAAGAGGAGGACGGTGTCCCTCTTGTCATAGGTCACAACCGATGCACGAAGAGCTAAGCAGCAAGGTGTATTTCCCGATGTAGCTGTCAATGTTCGACGCGCGCGTGTGGGTGTCCACAGGGGTGTCACGGGCGATATGCGAAGCGTACAGGAAAGGGGCGGTGGAAATTGGAACTACATGCACCCATATGCACACATGAACCGTGTCGTGTGAAATTGCAGGCGGCTTGCTATTGTGGTGGTATCCCGGTGTTCCTGCTTGACATGCTTGCGGATATCAACGAAAGCGCCGTCTTGTGCCCTTTGAAGAGGCCGTTGTCTTCGGAGCGCCGCAGGCGCGGATGGTTATCGAAGGAGTGTTTTGAAGACTTCGCGGTGATGTTGTAGTACGCGGATTTCGTCTGCTGTCGATTTGACTCCTGGACAATCGTGGTTTTGAAGGTGGCACGCCGAAACGCAAATTGTATCGTTTGAGAATTGCACCAGAGGAGACAAGGGGATAGCAGTGGTGTTGGCGTGTTGGCATGGTCTATGCGGTGGAACTGTGATCGTTTGGCGAGAAGCGGGTGACGTTTGGTGTACCTGTGGATGCGAGGAGACTGCGGTACACAACGGAGCTTCGTGCTAGGCTCGGACTCACATACACGGCAACTAATCAAAGACGCGTGCTTCGCTTCAGGGCTTCTCTCCGCGACCGTTTGACCCAAGAATCATCGATCGATTTGTCTACAGGAAGCCATCCACCACGATTGAAGGGTTTTCTATCCGTTAGCTCGTCGTGGGTGCAAGCGCGTGCTCTCCATGTCATTATCTTTGTTTTTTTCTAGTACACTGCCCCATTCATAACAGGTTTAACAGTAGTCACCTTGTCGACCTGCGAAACCCTTGCCTTGTCGTTTGGTAGGACCGTAGGGTTAGGATTCGGGCTAGGGTGGCCTTGCCTGGTCGTTTGGTAGGAGGTATGCATGTGTCCTTCCAGGGTGCGCTGGGCTGTCCTGCACAGCTGGACGAACGAACGCGCATAGCTTCTCCTTTTCTCCAGGAGGAGGAGGAGGTGGCGGCGGCGATGTTTCTTACCCGCGTGGTGTCCTAAGTCTATACGATCCGTGCGATATGCGGAGATGCGTTTGTTCAGCGCTCCCCCTCCCAACTTGTACAAGAAATATTCTCGTCGCGCAGGGCCATTCATCCCCCTACACCTCCGCTCCCTCGTGCCTACCGCATCAACGATGACGCCTCCCCCCCCCCCCCCCTGCAGATGGCTAATTTCGAGGATGGCATGCCCACACCGTACATCCCTCCGGACAAGAACAGCCTTTACGTCAGGCCCGCAGGTACGACATAGGTGTTGCCACCCCGGTGTGTGCCCTCCCCTCTTCCCCCCTGTCTAACCGAGAACAGTTCAATCACCGACCAACACACGTGCCTGAACATCGTATTGCATGTATGTAGCCTGAACTCACGTGCCTATGAATGACGTTCTTCATATTGCTGCACGGCCGTTTGTTTGTCCAACGTCAAGAATTGGTACGGAAGTTTAGAATTCGCGTGTGCCTTGCGACTCAAAGCGTTGGCATGTCACACTCGCCCATCAACTGTTGCCCCTCTGTACCGACTGCTTGAGGTCTTTTATGGTTGAAAGTATTGGGAGGTGCAGGATGTGTCGCATTCACAGTACGAACTGCTCAGTCGTGCAACATACATTCTCACTTTTCCAAGGGAAAAAGACGCTAGCTTCTGTGCGGCCACCGACTAAATTGATGTTTCTGGCAAGAGTCGTTCCGTTGAGCACTAAAAAGCGCGCTCGACAATACACCTCACCACGACCACCACCCCACAAAACCGTCGCAGAGGCGCTTCGAAGGATGGACGTGTCCAAGCTGATCGTGATCTGGCCCAACAACGTCGACTCGACGAGGACGATCAAGAGGGGGAGAAGAATACCCAAGGCTAGCGGATGTGAGGAGCACTATTAGCATCCATTCCCCTGGTGTTATGTGGCGGGGGAGGCGGGGAGGTGCCGTGCTGTTCGATTGGCGAGACACTACAATAATCGTTTCACCCCAAGAACATTCGCTTTTGGCTCGGGGCTCCGCAGATTGCGCATGACACGTGCACCCCTCTTCCTCGGGGGTCATTTTTTCCTTTATAGTTTTGGGGGGATGGCCTGATTTTTCGTTTGAAACACCGCGTTCTTTTGCGGCCGGTGTAAGGTAACTATAGGCGGACGGGGACGTGGTTTCTGCCCAGTATTTTACCCATCGACTCCTTGAAGGTTCCTCACGGCCCTGTTCCTTTGTCTTGCATGTTGTAAAGTGGCTGTGTATCATGTGTGCTGGAAGTCTGTTTGACGCTACCAAGGGCGTTGCGTTCGCGGAATGAGCCAACGACGTTGCACTTTTTCAGCACCACTTTTTTCTGCCGCTCTCGCTCGGTTTGGGTCTGTCTGTTGCATGTTTGTCCGTGTAGAGAAGAGCAGTCGTCTGGGCCGGCCTGTCTCTCCCGCCGCTGTGAAGCGATCCGCGGACACCTCAGCGAAATACCAGCATTCCGTTGCGCATGATTAAATGATACCATGGTATGTACCGCAAGTGGTCCCTTCCGGAGTGGGCTCTCATGAGAGCACAGCAGTGCCATCAAGGGGTGATTCAAGATGAAAATAAAAAAGCAGGCCCGTAAAAGCAGGACGCAGGACCAACCGACAAAGCTGACATGTTTTTTTGACTCGAACAGCCCAGCGAACCCCAACGAACCATAATCTGATACAGCCGTCATTGCATCAATTTGCCAACAACGTGTCTTCTGTCCACGTACGCGCGGCGCTGCTTGCCGCCGGAAAAAGGTCCGTCACCCACAGTGGAGGACATGTCCCAGGTGCTAGAGTTCTTGCAGCTCTGGCACGCCGTCGAACCGTACAAGGCCTACCCCAGGGAACCGTGGGTCTTGGGGCGAGTGAGGGTTAGGCTTGCGGACGAGGACGGGGTTCCGTGGAATCCGGAGGTGCCCGACCGTAAGTACCCGTCGTTTTTGTGGGTATATCTCCAACGGGTAGTCTATCTTTGATTGTATGTATACAGTGCTTCCTTGTAGTCTACGCAGTTTGTTTTTTTGAGTAAGCAAACATGCTGGATACAGTATGGAGTGAGGGTTAGGGTCTGCTTGCCCCCTGTCTGGTCTTTTTTCGTATTGACGTTACTTTCTTTTGAGTAGGAGTCGCGGCGGTATTCGCGACTTGTTAGCGCCAACGGTCGTGCGGTAGTTTTTGCTCCTCTGTTGTTGCTGCTGTATCAATCGTTGTTCTCCGATGCTTTCATGTGTTTGACGCGCTGACGTTGTAATGTTGTTTGGTCTGCTGCTGTGTCAGTTCTTGTCCCTCCGATACTCGGGGTAAGTTTGCGCTGTGGCTCTGCGCAGTATTTGTTGGGGTTGCATGGTGTTCCCCCCGCGTTCTGTCCCGGAAACTGCGTTGGTTCACGGCCCTCACCACCATTGCCTCAACGCGAAACGGACAACACCGCAGGACCATCGTTGATGAAGAAAATGGGGGAGCTGATGCCCAACCTCAAGAGCCGGATCGACCGCATCTCCAAGGCCAAGAAGGACGCGGAGGCGTTGGCGAGGGCGGAGAAGGAAAAGGCCGCCGCCGCAGTGGCCGCCGCGTCCCAGTCGAACATGAAGAAGAAGGGGAAGAAGAAGGGAAAGCGATAACGTTTGCCCACAGTAGTGGAGGGTTCTCTTCCTTTGGTGTCGGCAGGCGGAGGAGCAGGGCTAGGGTTCTGGTACTTCAAAGTACTGCCGCAGTACTGTAACAAGAAAAAATTGTCCTTGCCATTTTCGTCGATGGCACTTTTGTCTTATAGGGAAGCTTTGCATAGATAGCTAGTTGGAGATCTTGTCTGGCACATAAATGTGGCGATTTAGTCCCGACACCAAGGGACCCGGCCTCTTCTTGCCACTTGTTGGCAACGGCTGGGTTGTTGTCAAGCCTTGCCGCAACACGCGGGCCGACGAAAGAGTTGTTGTCTGCTCCGTGGGTGTGTGATCGGCCACACACCTGTCGCTCCTTTCTCCTAGGTGCTTGTGAATGCGTTCTTCTCGCTCGCGAGTTTTGGGTATAGCTCTCGACGAGGAAGAGCAGCGAGTTGCAAACGTGCGCATCCAAAAATTCTTGTACACAGCCTGGACCCGGTCGGAAAATCGATGTTTCCGGAGTGGATTGGCGTTTGGGAGTCGGATCGCCTCACCATCTCCATCCGTCGGTGCCTGCCTCCGCAAACAGCAAGCACGGCATCCCCCCCATATATACACACAGCACAAATCCCATTGTTCCCGCTGACACCAGGGTACATACTTCCATTGTGCGCGGTAGAATGATTTGAGACACGCGTGCACAGGCTTCCATCGATGATCCTGCCACGAAATAACGCGAAGCCTGCTTGGGGGAGGCGCGGCGTACGAACGCAGGAACACTCCGTCCTGTTCTCTCCGCTTGGTGTCCTATATCGAGCAGACGCTCAGCACAGCCGGCAGTGTAAGGGGTGTCCGAATCACTGACTATTTTTAAGCACCTGGAATGACAAATGACAAGGTTCACGACGTCGCCCTTTCCGAACGGAATAACGACGGTGCCCTGTTGTAGTTGTACCTTTCACACACCCTGCCCCAGCTAGCTGTGTGACGCATCGTCCAGGCTGCTTTGAACTGGAGCTGGAAGCAGAGGGTGCTGCTCGACACAGTAGGGTGTGACACGTGTGTGTGTGGCAAAAAAAAAGACGCACAGAACGCGCACGCAAGACTTCGCCTGCTTTGAGTGCTAGACACAGATGTGTGTGTAGCCAAAAAAGAGGGCACAGAACACTCGCGCGAAGAGCTCGAACAACACGGGATGGGTGCTCCTGCGTCAGCACCGCGCACCTACACACCATGGTTTTCTTCTTTCACGTTTTCCCAGGGTTCTAGGATGCTCGTGACTAGCCCTTCTACGATAACACCAGTATCGTGGGGGTGACACGAATTTTAGTCGTATGACGCCCGACACGTTCCTCCGACAACCTTATTTCCTCCACAAAGCGGATGATAAATAAAATGAACATCAAATGAAACGAACACGACACACCTCCTAAAAAAGACGACGAAACTACAAGTATTCTATCCATCTATCAAAAGGTGGAGCAAGGTTGGCTTGCATTCCATGACCTCTCTCCAGAGATCGACCTTGACATCATCACACAAGACTTGTATCCCTGGGAATCTCCGTCCGAAGACAGAGACCCAAACAGACTTTCTCTCTTCTAAAAGTGTCCATCAACGAGCCCGATGTGAAGCTAGGCCGCAGAGAGGAGTCAAGAGTCGGTCGCCCATGCGGAGGCCAGCAGTTGTAGTTGGCGAGCCCACCACCGCCGCCAAGATCCGGCCCGTAGTGGAACGATGGCAGCGAGAGATACACGGAGGGGGAGGGGCGGCTGGGTGACAGTTGCCGCCTTCGGGATACATTGACAAACAAGAACGCAGCATTTGTACACAAGTTTAACGAACTTTTCATGCAAGTGGCAACGAACATAGATTGGAGCACAGGCACACAAGTTGAACGAACTTTTCATTCAAGCGGGCCACGTATATAGATTGGAGGCTGCTCCTACCCGGCAGAACTGTCATGCTGTGTGTGTGTTCGTGCGAGGGCTGACTAATGCGAAGAACATTAAACGTATGTGCCCTTCCTCCTGTGTGGTCACGGTTGGTGCGTCCAGATGGTTTTACCGAATGGCGTCAGGACCGACGTCCAGAAACCATGGGACCAAACAAAATCAAAATATAGCGGTCGCAGTACATACACTCTTCTCTCGGAAATTCCAGCAAGAGCCCGACGGTGCCCCCAATGGCGTCACGCGTGTACACCGCTGCCCAGTTCTAGCGGGGACTTGAAGCAAAAACAAAAACCAACGACCGCTGTAACTTGTCTTGACGTTGCAAAGCCCAGTACCCAGCCGATTTTTTTCCTATCCACTGTTAAGACATCAACCCATCCCTTTCGACTGTGGTATTATCTCGCACGGGTAGTCATTTTGGGAGATTGTGTACAATACTTTCTAACAAAAAGGGGGGGGGGGGGGGGGCGACAGAGTACGAAGATTGCATTCTTCGCACGCAACGCGTGGAACCGGCGTCATGTAACTGGCAACAGAATTAAGATGCACAGCTTGTATTAAGATGCACAGCATACTATCCACTAGCCTTCAAGTCAGCGCTGAAGTCATGCACGCTGCTTGCCGGTCAGGCTACACATGGAACAACTACGCCCAAGAATCGTGCGGACGCAACGAAAACTGGCATAAAAGTAAGTTTGTGTGGTACCTGTTTCATGCCCCCGCGGGAAATGCAGAAGTCGACCTGAATCAGCTCGGCGATCCTAAGGCCCACCCCTTGTCCCCGTTCCGCTCGGAACCCCCCCGAAGCCGCCATATCCGCAACCGTGCGAGGCAGGGAAGGCGGGGGGGGGGGCGGAAGCTGTCCGTCCCCGGACGACGACGAAATGGGCGTTTCTATTCAAAAAAACGGTGGGAAATCAGAAGAAGCACAGGCTGAGAGCTAAACAAGGGAGAGTTGGCATCACTGTTAAAATTTTTCAGTGAAAAGGCATACGGTATCACTGTTAATTTTTCAGTGTATAGGCTTAAGTAGACCTGAAAAAAACTCAACAACACTTAAAAGAGAGAGCCACAACAACAAGGTATGGACCACCGCCCCCCCCCCCCCCCCCCCCCCCC